AGATGGTAAGTAGCCCCTAGGAACGGCCCTCAACCAAGCACTGACAGGAGCTGGCCGATGCTCCCTTTACCTCGCCTCTTGATTGGGAGCCTCTGTGGTGTGTCCCTCACTGTCCGCTCGAGTTCTCCAGCAGGATTCAACCTGCCTTATGTCCGTGATCACCTGCTTCTGTCAGCTTTTTTTGTTTCCGTGACCAAAATACCTAACCACAACAACTTTGAGGAGGAAAGGTTTGTTTGGGCTTATGGTTTCAGAAGTTCAGCCCATGGTCCGTCGACTCCCTAGCTCTGGGCATGAGTTGAGGTAAAACATCATGGCAGAAGGATGTGCAGGGGGAAAGTGGCCGAGTTCACAACAGCCAGGAAGCAGACAGAACTTGAGTGCAAGGAACCAGGGATAACAGAATCCCCAAGGGCACATCCCCACTGACTTCTCCCTTGGGCCATGCACTACCTGCCTATGGTTACCACCCATTCATGTCTCAGATGGATTAATCCACTGATTAGGTCACAGCTCTCACAATCTAATCATCTCACCTCGGAATGCTCCTGCATTTCAGGGGACAATTCATACACAAGCCACAACATCACCTGTGGATACCYACCTCATGTTCATTTCTTTTCCATGTCCATCTCTTCCCCAGGCCTCTACCGTGCTTCCTGGGAAGCACTCACAAATGACTTGTACTCAAACCTCTGAACTAAGAAAGTTTGCTTCTGGGTAACCTGACCAAACTAATATGTGCCGCTTCACTAGACTGCTATCTCTGTCAGCAATGAGAATCTGCTTGTGTTAGTCACCATTGGATCTCCAGTACTTAGCATTAGYTCAGGTCAGCATTCAAAGGGGATGAATAAATAGAAGTTCACTTTTTCCCTCCTCTGATACAACCAGGGTTTACTGCATGGGACTGGTCCCATGGGATATAGATAGGAAATGTCTTCTGTCCCACCGCCTGGCCCCCAGTTCTTCTCTGAAGAATACGGCTGTGTTCATGGCAATTAAGTTCCATTAACTTTTAAATGGCATCACCATGAATTATAGGAAATTATGGCTCATACCCTTTAAAATAAGGCCTTGGACTCCACTAAGATCTTTTATTGGACAGAGTTTTTTTTTTTTTAACCAGTCTCCATTATTAACCTAAATTTGTCTCCTTCCTGTGGCATATTAAACAGTATTTTATGAGCGAAAGATAAATACATAAAGCCAAAGACAGTATAATATAAAAGAAATCCACATTTCAGAGTCAGATGGTTCCCACTTCAAACTCCAACTCTGCTGCTTATCAATTAGGTGATCTTGGGAAAGCCACTTAGTCTGTATGACATCTTCACCTCTATAAAGCAGGAATGATTGTCCCTATGCCGTATGGTTATTTTGGAGATTTAATAGAATTATTTGCTAAACATGTACTAACAATATTGAAGATAATACAATGGAATGAATACTACTAAAGGACATATTTGAAGACACAGCATCAAGAAGTAACATATTTCACTGAAGAATTCTGGTACCATTTCAAATTATTTAGAAAATCATCTCTAAAGTAAAGCTGATATTATTTCTAATCTCCAAGACCTCACCTTACTCCCCTCTGATAGCCAACATCTAGAGGAGCTCCTAAATTTGCCCTCACCCACCCCCCAACTCCTGCCCTTTCTGGCCATTTACAAGTTCATTAGAGCTGAGCTGTAATACTATGTTTCACCACTAGTGGCCGCTGTTTGATATTGCTCTACAATGTTAAGAAACTTCCCAACTGAGGCTCTAGAATCGATTTTATACTTAAAATTTGATTTACTGTGTTTATTTGGAGATGTGCTGTGTAGTATAGCTTTTGTCACACTCCACTAGAGAGGAGAAGAGTTGGGAATACCTAACAGTACTGTTACACAGGACTCAGAAGACAGTCCTTCCCCAAACAGCACAGCCACACTTTGGGCTGTGATAACCACCTGACTGCCAATTACAGTCTCGGATTTGTAAACAGCCAGAAGACTCCCTGGAGGGAATAAGTATATTTCCTTTAACACACTATATAAGACAAACACATTCTCTTAAATACGCTGTGTGCTGACTGCCAACTAGATTTACTTTTCTAATGCCAAAGGAAAACATTCAGAACCAAGGCAAGGGACCTYGGTAGAACAGAGATACTAGGAGGCCAAGGAAAGAGCAGAGAACATCCAACAGTTCAATGGAGAACCTCCAAAACTTCCATGGGGTGTTATCAATCAGGGGCTGAACAGGTGAGATGTTATGGGCATGAACCTGGAGTCAGATTTTGTATCTAATCACAACCAAGGGAGCCAATGTGCTCCTCTGAGCCCAATTCACCACGCGGATACTCAGGTTTCCTCTTCTGTAAGGAGCAATAATAATTCTTATCTCACAAGATTATCCTGAAAATCAAAGAACATAACATGCCTAACCTGTGCAGAACAGCAGACATGGGCAAGCAATAATATACATTGTAGATGTCATTTCCCCATGGAACCTGCCATTCCATGTACAAGATGATGGCTTCCTATTGTGAGTGCCCAGAGTTCTCTGCCTGGGGTCTCTCTCTGCCCATGTACCTGGGGTTGGATGGATGTGCCAGGGAGTTAACCTTCTAGGAACAACTCTTGGCCAATTGTGCATAGAATATAGTGAATAAACATCTATTTCCTTACTGCTTGGGTGTGACAACTCTGAGACTTGCTCCATGCTGTATTTCAAAGGTCCCAGGTGGGTATGAGCCTCATCTGTCCACTGTAGGGACTGGCTTATCATTACACGCACACTGGCCATATCACTGCTCACTTTCCTACTTCTCAACCAGCACTTCCTAGGATTATCTCCAAAATAAACCACCAGCACTCGAATTCTTGTTTCAGGATAGAATCCAGCTTAAACACTATCTCACAGTACAAACAGTGTTCACGATGTGGACAACTGGGTTCTGAAAAAAAAAAAAAAGCTCAATTCATTAACAAAGCCCTGTCTGTGCAGCAGCCCTTCCAGCCCCCTCCCTTCCCTTTCATGGGGCACCCACTACCTTGGGTCACACCCTTCTCATTTATTTTGGTTCTGCCATCTGTAGCTATCTCCATGCTTCCAGTGACCCCGTTATCTAAGCCACCATGCTCTTGGGCAGTAACCCAAGCTATTGCCCTAAAACACACCTCTAGCCGTGCCAGGCCCTTGCTTTCGTTTTTTAAGCCTTTATTGGTATTCAGTGGCTCCGCGGTTGTGCCTGAAATTTAACCATGGTATGAGAGACCCTTCCAAGCTGATTCCAACCACCCCTTCAGCCCCCTCTCCAGCGACTGCTGAACACAGCTAATGCTCTACTCCTCAAAAGCACCGTCACCTGTCACCTTCCTATGTGTTTCTATGTGCTTGTGACCTTTTCTGTCTGAACAATCCTGCTTATGCTTCAAGGCTCACACATGCCCTCCTCCCTGAGGACTTCTCCGTGGTCTAGAGAAATTAACCGTTTCCTTCTCTGGCCTCCCACAGAAGCATCTGCATCCATAGATGCAATCATTTGTTCAACAAGTGTTTTCTGAGCATATTCTACTACCTGCCAATCCTGTGCTAAGCCCCAAGGGAACCAGGCTGGATAAAAGCCCACATGAAGTTCACAGTTGGGTGAAGGAAAGAGAGACACCATATAAGCACAGTTAGTTCTGGACTGGAGTGAGAGTTTCTAGTAAGGACACAGACCCATCTTGGGAGCTGGAGAGCATCCCAGAAAGAATGGACATTCTAGGTGGGAGTGAAGTAGGAGTTAACACCAGATGAAGGAGGTGAGACATACATCCCAGGCCGAGGGCACCACAGAGAYAGAGCCCTTTGATGGGAGTGGATACAGTAACATAGAAGGCCAGGGCCTTTAAAGCAGAAAGGCACAGGGAGAACGGAGGGAGAAGAGGCTCTTCAATTGTTAATATATTGCCTATTTGTTGTGTTCTCCCTGCCTTGTGCTCTAAGTTGAGCTCCTCAAAAGTAAGGATCAGGTATCCCTGAAATCGTATCTACCTGAGCACTTACAATGCAGAAGCAAAATTAAGTGTACCTATTTTGTGGATGGGGGTGTTGAGGCTCAGGAAGGGTGAACAAAGTGCCAAAGATTCGAAGGTTGTTGGTTGCACAGTAACTAGAATATTTGTCAATCCCATTGCTTTCCTTAAACTGCCACAAGGTAAATCACTCTCATTTTTAAAAAAATGAAAATACTAGTTTTTTTTTAAATGAGATCTTTTATCCAAAGGGGCCTTTTATCCAAAGGGGCCCAAGAGCAAACAACAAAACAAAACAAAAGGTCAGAAGGAGAACAGGACTGTGTTCTGGTACTGAGTTCTTTACTGGAGCCTCTTTATTGTCCTGAATAAAGGTGCTGACATAGGTGCTGAGAATTAGCCGTCAGAGGAAGCTCCTGGGGATGCCCTGGGAAGAGAGCATCCTGGCTGACCCTGGGGGCTCCGTCCATCCGGAGAGAAAAGACCCTGCCTGGGACTCTTGAAGGCGGGGATTGGTACCTCTAGTTTCCTGCTTCCGGAACCTCGCTGTCCTTCCACTCAGAACCCACGGCCTGGGAAACAGCCCGGTTTCCCGCTATCCCGCCCGCCCCCGCAGATGGGTTGGAAAGCAGGCCACCTTGCCTTTGCCTGGCATCCAGGCCCCGACATTCATCTCTGTCCATTTCAAGGCTTCCGAGCCTGCGCCGTATATAACCAAGTACTGGGCCCCAGGGGAAAGCTAGGCGGCCCGCTGTAGGCGTGTTTCATCCACGAGTCTTGGGCAAATCCATTATTAGGGCTTCAATCAAGAGCCTAATTTGCGACTGGTTCAGAAACCGGAGCCAGAGCTTCCTTTGSGCAGGGAAGGCCGGCGGCAGCGGGGGTGGGGCGGTCTGGGCGCGGCGCCTGCGAGGATTACGGTGGAGCTGTGGACCGCGGCGCCGCTCGCCTCGGCTGCAGCCATTGCGCCGCCAAGCATCCCACATTCAACAGGAGGAGCCCGCGGGAGAGGAACCCCGAGCACCCCGCGCCGCAGCCGCCGCAGCCCGTGCGCCCCGTGCCCCGCGCGCCATGGCCAAGGAAGGCGTGGAGAAGGCGGAGGAGACGGAGCAAATGATCGAGAAGGAGCCAAGCAAGGAGCCGGCGGAGGGCGGCGGCGGCGATGGCTCGCATCGCCTCGGGGATGCTCAGGAGATGCGCGCCGTGGTGCTGGCCGGCTTCGGCGGGCTCAACAAGCTGCGGCTCTCCAGGAAGGCCATGCCCGAGCCGCAGGACGGCGAGCTCAAGATCCGCGTCAAAGCCTGGTCCAGTATCCGTGCCTTTCTCGCTCACTCGCTCTTTGCGCTCGGGGATCCGGGAGGAGGTGGGAGAGCCTCGGCGGGGACGCTGCCCTGGGGAGCCTCTGCGGGCGTCCCCTTCGCGCTCGCGCCGGGCGCGCAGAGCCTCCCCCGAGGCCGGTGACCCACCGATGCTGGCAGAGTGGGTGCCAAGGGTGGCATTCCTTCCCCGAGCCAGATATAAAGTGTCCGGGAGGATGGTGGAGTCAGCACCCGGGGTCTGGAAAAATGTGCCGCGGGAGTTCTCTGTCCTGTAGGACAGCTCAGCATAGGGGTGGGGATGCGAGGGGTTGATGGTAAACCTGGTTAAATATACTAATAATCGTGCGCTTACTGGGTGCCAGCCGCCGATTTTAGAGTTTTACATGTGCGATCCTATTTAATACTTCCTGGGACCCAGCGAGTTGGGTACCGTCGTCGTTTACCCTTCCTTACAGGTGAGAAGACCGCCGCTCAGAGCCAGTGATTTACGCAAGACTGCTCAGCCGCTACTAAGTGGCATGGCAGGGATTTGACACCCTTTTTAACCTCTGTGCTGTTGTCCTGATGAGGAGGCTGAGTTGGGTGCAAGTCTCTTCCCACCCCACCCCCACTCCCCTGCGCACTTCCCTCCTTGTGGCCTGGTATGTGGAAAGGAACTGGGAAGCAAGACAGTTAGATACTTAGTGTCTAAACTGAATGAGGGGTGGACGCCAGGGCTGAAGCCCACCCTTCCCCTTGCCCACACGCCTTGTGTTTCTCTAAGGGGGTAAAATCTTGATCAGTTTCCTTCAAACTCCTGCTCTCATCTCAGAAGGAGCCCAGCCCTCCAAGGGGCCCTCCATTMCCCCTTCCTCCTGGGGAAACTTCCTGGACCGTGCCTGTTGAGATTAACAGCACGGTGTGTGTAAGCCCCTGTGGGTGAACGCASTGCGGGATCATTGCTAGGAGGCTTACTGGGGAAGATCAGCGGACCCAACCCTGCAGCCGCCTGAATCTTGTAAGTGGAACTGTTTTCTCAGAGAGATGAGCCTAGCCCTTCCCATAGCTACCTTTTGAAGCCTCCAACACACAATGCTTCGAAAGCAGCAGCCAGCGCAGGTTTCCCAAGCAAGATCAGAAACCCCAAATTGGGACCTAATCAAGAGACAAAAAAAAATTGCAAAGATCTCCCTTCCCTTCTCCACTTGAGAGTAGAAGCAGGCATGATTTGCCAGCTTAGAAGCCAGCGGTGGGAGCAGCGGACTCTGATGTCTGGCTGGCTCCTCACATATCCTGCTGGTCTGTTTTGACTCTGAACACCACTCTGAGGCCTCTCTGGGGAATTCAGGGTAAGAAAGAGGCTTTTGCAAATGGGGAGATCCTATCTGGTTCTTTTTGTTAACTCTTACAGAACCAAGTCAATCCATCCTAAAAGCAGTGCTTAATATCTTCCCTTTTCACCAACAAACACGCCATGTCTAGCACAGTGCCTGGCCCTCTGTCTTTAGGCGAATGGATGGAAGAAAGCGCTGGAAGGGGGTTGTGGAGTCACCATTTTTCTTCACTTGCTGGTGAAAGACCTTCTGCCTAGCACAATTTAAACCAGACACTGATGACTCTCCCTTCTTAACCATGCCATAAAAATGTCATATGTATACACACACATGCATATATATATATATATATATATATATATATATATGATTATGTGTGTGTGTGTGTGTTTGTAATTTATGACTCTTCATCCAAATCGAAAATGGTGTTCCAGGACTCCTATGTCAGAGTAGGTATGTTGTGGCTACTTTTTACAGAAAAGAGTATCTGCAATGCAAATTGGTCCTCTGCGTTCAGTGGCCTTATACTAACTGCATAAATGCTATAAAAACTGAAGCATTTTGAGATAATAAATGTCACAATGTAAGCCAAGAGATTGATTTTCAAGGCCAAACACACAAATCTGTTCTTCAGAGGAGCTGTACACATACCCCCCAATCCCCCCACACAATGGAATCACTACAGTCCCCCACCCTGTTGTCCAGTTGTTCAGAAAGCCACCCAGCCAGACATGGGGGTGCCCATGGAACAGAATTGCAAAGGGCCCCGATTGATTTTTTTTTTTTTTTGCCGAGCTGGAAGCAGAGCTAATGAGTTTTGCAAGAGAGGATTGGAATAGCTTGTGAAGATGGCTCTCTGGGCACTTCTTCCTCCACTGGGCTAGGATTGGCTGGCTAGAGATGCCCATTGATTGTAAGTTTTAGCCTTGAGATCCAGGATGACTCACTGGGTATTTTTATGAATCAACTGATGGCCTCATGGATGAAGGTCCCCTTTTATCTGCTCTCTATTTTTAATGGAAACCTTTTATCATAAATAGGATATGCTCTTTGCTTGGRACGAAAGCATAGTACATCTGAACCTGTATCAGACAGGCTTGGAATGAGGGCTTAAGTTGGGTACTCTATAAATTTTGTGCAAATGGAAGAGAAGCAGCAGGAAGAAATACATATTTCATTTCAGTTATCCTCTCATTGACGGACYGATGACAGAATTATTTTTCCTATGTTGCAGAAGAATAAGTTGAGGTTTGGGGCTCTCAGGTAATTGCCAAAAATATCACACAAGCAGCAGAGTTAGAATTTGAATCTGCCTCTTCTCAAAGCTCTGATGTTTTTCTTTTATTCCATTTAGCTTCCCTTGGTAGAAAAGTCACAAGAAATGTGATTTGTCTGTCTGGACTTTTTGGCCTGTATGATTGCTTTCCCTCGTTTCTTCAATAAATTCAACTGCTTTGTTGTTTCTATGCTTGGCTTAAGGGAACTTCCGCTCTGGCTATTCCCCAAGTAAGATGGCTTTCTTAAATGCAATGCAAAACGTCACCATCGGGGGGCAGTGGTGAGGGTCAGAGGGATAGTCTTCTGTCTAAAGAAGAGCAGTTTGATGGGACCCACTTCATCAATTATCCATCAAATMGTTCACACAGCAGGAGATGTAAGTGATCAAGTATCAAGAGAGTATGGCCTTTGAAGAAAGACTGACCTGGATATAGGTGTGGACCTTGTGTCCTCCTCTCCGTGTGACCTTGGTGGGTGTGTCTCGATGTCTTCAAGCTTCCTGGGCTTCCTCGCACAGTGGGGATAAGAGGAACCTTGCGGTGGCATCCAGAGAACAGACACATCATGGGCCTGAGTCAGCACTCAGTAAACAGAGTTACGTCACTGTGACCGTTGCCATCGGTGTTGTCATGTCTAGACCTCTGTGACGTGCCTTTTGGTGATCAGACAACGTGGAGGCCCTCCTTCCATCAGGTCTATCCTGTAGGTGATGTCCTGTCACATCAGTGGGCGGATGCCAGACTTCTTAGACCCGAGTCCCAGCTCTGCTGCCTGCTAGCCACRTGCCATAGGTCTGACTCCTTGGAGGCAGGGCCTGACACAGGGATCCATTTTCGAGTAGTTTACTGAGCATTTTCGGAACAGTGGGGAGCAAGGAAAACAGGTTGGGGTGGAGGAGAGTGCTCAGCAGGGATGTGGTCTCAGGGGGACCCCGTCACAGAGGAAGCAAGGAAAGCAAGGAGCGGGAAGCCCTGTGTGTCRTTGGCTGGGGGCTGCTTCGTGAGTGGGCAGGGGATCTCTCAAGCAGAGGTGGCTTATATTTGATGGAGCAAACTTCTCAAGGGAAGAGGACAGCTCTGAGCCATGAGCAGCCAACACTCCAGCAGTTGGGATCTGGGTGAGGCACGAACAACTCCTTCTGGTTGACGTTGCCCTGTTGCTTACCTCCTCTGCACTTGAGCATCCTGGTCTATAAATAGAGATGATCATAGCGCCTCCTTCCTTAGTGTGTAAAGAAGCTTAAACGAGGCACAGCATTAAGAYCTTTATGATGCTGCCTGGCGGGTAGCAAGGGGTGGATAAATGATAGCTATTATTATCTAAACTATTATTCTTGGTTGCCATAGATACCCCATATAGTTTATCAYTGGAACTGGAACTCTTTTGAAAGTGAAAGGGGCACTATGAAAAAATTATTGTGGGGTTCCAGGAGCAAACTGGAGCTGCCCTAGACAAACTTGGGTGTGAGGGCCCCCAACTGAGAAGGATCAGATTTGCGCCTTTGCCGCTGTCAGTCTGATCAACAGAGGAGTGTCTCGTGGACAGGGGCTGGTAGGATTTGAGGCCAGCTCGGGGTCTCCAGGTTGGGCTGCAGGAATGTATTAAAGTGACCATTAACAAGCCTTGTCTAGTTGGTGGTACAAATTGGCTTGTGGTGGAAAGGTACTAATGGATTGGGGACATTTATTTTCCCAGAGTGATTTATGGTGAGAGGCCATATGAAACTGCTGGAAAGAGACCAACTGGATGAAAAATGGTTCCAGCAGTCCTGGCTCCATTGGCTGATCTGAAAATGGGCTGAGGGCGGCCGCACTAGAAGAAAGGCATCAGATTGGTGGGAGTCTAATATGTCACAAGGGGACAATYGACTGGAGATGGGGAAGGAACAGGCATTTACTTAGCAGTGGTTACACACTAGGAACTGAGTGGCCTGCGCGACTCTGGGTTTCATTTCATCCTAATGGCATCTCGAGATCAGTATTACATCTCCACTTGAAAGAGGCGGAAACTGATGCTGAGAGATATCAGGACCACAGACTGCTGAGGGGAAGACTAGGGGAGAAGCCAAGCTGCCATGTTCCCAGGTGCCTTACATTTGGGAGACAGGGGATCAGAAGACAAAGACACAAAAGGGCAAGAGAAAGGCAGAGGCAGATGATGAGCAGCAGCGAGCACAGAGAAGCAAACAGACCCTGAGATAGGCACATGAGATAAAATCAGGAACGCATTTGGCCAATTTCAAATAGAATGGATAAGATGAAAAAACTGCACACAGCCATCTTGCCTGTCCCCCAAAATGGTCATCATGTTTCTACACCACATCCATTTTCCATCTAGTTCTCAGGCATGGGATGCTTTGGGGACCCACTGAGGATGGAGATGGTGTGGCCCAGT